CCTATATTGTTCTTTCAAAAATAAAATTCTAACTGCCTCCTCTAAGGCCATTTATTGCAAGAGAGTACTTTAATGGAAAACTGGCAGTGTTTGGGGTCAGGCTGAGTCTGAAAGGGGGTCTCTGTTTAAAAGTGGAACAGTGGGCCTGCTGGGCAAATGCCTGCACATTATATGGGTCAGGTGAAATCCAGTTACATCAAACGGAATACGATTCAACCACAAACACCAGACGACACTGATGCACAACATGTTTTCAAATGTAGATCCTGCACGATACACACTGTGTACCTCTCTCCTAAACCAGGATGCTTCCATCTTTAAGCACTAAGGCAGGGAGGCAGCGGTCAACACATACATGCTCATTTTTGTAGACCACTGCCTCCCATGATGTCCCACGTAACAAGATTTCCATCTATTTTAACAGGTTGAATGTCAAGATCGAATCAAGCCACAGACCCCAATTAAGAACTGATCACGTGGATTTGCTGAACCTCCTATAAAACCCAATAAGACTTAGTGAACCATGAATCCTTCCTAAAATAAATAACAAGCTTATATTTCCTCTGAATTTACTGATTGGGTTTAAAGCCCTGATTCTAACAGCCACTACCTCAACGAACTTGTGCTCTCAATTGCACTCCCAGTGCCTGGACAATGCGTAGCACACAGTAGACACAAAACAGATATTTGCTAAATGCACGCATGAATGAATGGTAGGTCTACCAAATGGCAGTGTATCTGGTTCTGCCTGCCGTGTAGAACAAAGCCTACTTCACATGGGAGGCATTAGGAAGGAAAGCCCATGAGCTATTCACTGCCAAGCAAGAATCGTAGGCATCGGCCAGGGTCCGAGCCAGAGATCTGAGCTTGTGCTCCAACACCGGCAACTGCTGCTGTCTCCAGAAGGGCTCTGCTAGGCCACTTTGGAACTCTATTATAAGCACGGATATTAACTTTGGGGTTAGAGGTGCTATGTATAGTCCAAAAGCTGGTGAATGGAAGAAGAACCAGCAAGAAAGCTTTTTGCAACTCTCTACTAGAGTGAACCACCTACTCCCAGTTTGGACCAGAAATCTTTGTCAGTCACCAAAGTGCCTGCAACAAAACTATAGCACATAAGTTCACAGAGGACAGAGACTGTGTATTGTCATCCACGGACCCACAGCTCCTAGGACAGCACCAGCACATGGTGGACACTCAAGAAATATTTCTGTGTGAAAGAATAAACCAACTCCTCCCCCAGGGGATGAGCTAGTGGTAGGAAAGAATAGACTCACAGGCCCCAGGGACTCTTGGGAGCCCACGTTGGGAAAGAAACCAAAAAAACATAGCCCAACATGAACATATTTTTTAAAAGACAGGAAGGAAATGCTCGAAATGCACTAAATATTAACCATGTCCTTCTATGGTGATAAGAAAGTGGATGCCTTTTTAAATTTTTCCTTTTGTTTCTAATTTCCCCAATATTCTATGAGTGTGTATTACCTTTACTTTTTCAAAAACCTAATAGTCTTTATTTTTAAATGTTTTAAAGTTAAAGTAGTTAAACTGTTTTTATAACTGTCTTTAACATAGGAGGTTTGTCATATATTCTACTAGAACTAGTCTCAGTGGCCACGGCCCCTGAAACACGATGTACATTTTATGAGCAACCGCTAAGGTTATTCAACTTGACATTCCACTTTCTAGCAGCAATATAAGGATACTTCAAAGAGTTCATGGAAAGATTCATGGAAAGATTCGTACATCTTTTAGTTCTATTTTCCCATGAACTATTTGAAGTACCCTTGTACACAGAGGGTGTAATTAATAGCGTTTGTAAGATGAATTTTACAAACTGTGATAGGCCAAGAAATTTTAAAAGACTAAAAATAATCAGACATCTGGTAAGCTACTAAGTGGCTTTAGAGCAATGGTTCTCAACCGGGAGCAATTTTGCTCCCACCCCCCACCCCCAGGGGACATTTGGCAATGTCTGGAGACATTTTTGGTTGTCACAATTGGGAAGGGGAGGTGCTCCTGGCATCTGGTGGGCGGAGGCCGGGGATGCTGCTAAACATCCTACAGTGCATAGGACAGTTCCCACCACAGAGAATGATCCAGCCCCAAATGTCCATCGTGTTAAGGTTGAGAACCCCTACTTTAGAGTAATTATGTGTTTAGGGAGGTAATACTCTACCATCTTAACTAAAAATGCTTCCATAAAACAGATGTAATGAAAAAGATTAAAATAAAAACTTGGAAGCAACCACAGTAGCGGTCGGTACATAGATGATGGGATAAAAAAGTAAACATTATATAGAAGAAAAAGCATATTATCTTATGACAGGTTATTGTCTACCAAAGCATGGAAAAGTCCCCCCGCATATCCATCTGTGTATTTATATCTATATCTGCACATTTACATATATGTACATTTTAACATCCCCAGCAGAAAGAAGCAGATGGCCCTACTGTTCCCCACGATCTAGTCCAATCATCAACAGCCCTCCCAGGCAGACACCTCTGGACCTCTGAATAGCTTGTCCAACAGATGTGACACTTATCTTCTTGTTCAGTCCTGGATGTGGACCCCTTTCTGCGAGGAAGCATTTTCCACGTGCTGAAGAGTCATCATTAAATCATGCACCAGACGAGAAGACGACGCTCCCTCCACTCTTCCCCGCCACCCTAACCTTCCCTCCTTTCATCGCCTCTGTGGCTCCCACTGAGGCCTCTCTGAAGCCTTCCTGGCTTAACTGCACGACTCAAGACTAGAAGAGCCTGAGCCCCACTGAGCACAGAAAGAGCCTCATACTTGCAAAGAGAAACGAGAGGTCAAGTCCCATTCAGCAGGAATTTGAACACGGGTCACATACGGCCCCATGTGTTAACACGTGGTGACGAAGATGACCACATTGCCTGGGCAGTGCTAACTAATCCCCCTCCAGCAGAGACAACAGCTGTGGTTTGGTATTCCAGAGACGGACTGAAAATAAAACATTTTCAGCCTCATGTGAGCAGTTGTTACAATTTTAAACATGATGTGTAAGGAAAATCCTTATTTACCTCATTTACCATTCTTTTCTTATCGAAACTATCTTGGATCTGTCTGCAATCTTTGCTCCCAAGTCCCCTAAAAGTGAAAATGGCTAAATGTGAATGGCATATTTCTAGACTCATAAAAGGGCAGATAATTCCTCAAATACAGGTCATGAATTTCTCCCCTAGAGTACAGGGACTCTTCTATTTCCACAGACCAGGAAAACAGCTCTTGTGATTCCTCAGAGCAAAACACTCCTTGCTTTTGCACAAACTGTGTAACTAGCTGCTTCTGTACTATTATGGGTCTGACTGAAAGCACATAGGTACTAGTGCCACCGCGTGGTGCCTCTTCAGACACTCCAAACACAGCTTCTAGAAGAGCGCGTGGTGGGCAAGCCTAAATGTCTTCCCTAACCACTTGACGACAATTAGTGCTTCCCCCTTGACGACAGTAATGGGTTTCAGTGAAATTAGTAAGCTGTCTCTTAGCAGGTGTGCCTGCAACCATACAATAGATAATGGATGCGGTGACATTTATTACTTTAGTTTTTAAATTTAAACCTTTGCTTAAAGGACTTCGGGTACTGAATACATTTTTTAAAGGCTGCTGATTACATGACTTTAAAACAAACCCAACCCTACTTAAACAACTTTTAAAAACTCATTATTTATAAGGCAATATTTACACCTAAAAGCACCTACCTGTTAAGGGACAGGACTTATATTTAAGCAACAAACAGTGAACACAAACTCAACAGTGAAGCACAAACTTGCTATGGTGTCTAAAATACAAAATCAATTTTTGCTTCGGGGGAGGTAAAAATGTTTGAACAGCAAGCTAAAATTAGAGGCCATAGCTTATCTTATAAAGCCTTTGATGAAGATACGTTAAAGATATTTTAAAAGCTACTTAACATGGGGAAGAGGTTTTAGAAGTTGAAGGGAAGCACCTTAGAAATAAAAAACAAAGGGCAGGGAGAAGCAAGCAGTTTCGTCTGGTGAAGACATGCTCACGGTGAGGATGTCGGCAACGAGACCAGGGCAAGTCCCGTTGATGAGCGTCACGAATACTCTGGAAGATGGCACCACAGTAAAAATCATCACATGCACACGGAAGCCGGCCATGGGCCCCAGACTACCACAGGATGCTGGATGCCATGCAGATCACGGAGCAACGATGCTGAGCAGATGGCACTGGCCACGTGCCGGTGCAAGGGCTATGCTGGCCTCCACCCCTGCTGCATCTTGAGGTCCAGCAGGGCTGCATCTCCGAGGCTCACTGCTCCTCCCTGCCCGGGGCTTCCAACCACTCACGCCCAGGCCTCTGGCCCTCAGTGCCCTCTGTCTGCGGAATCCTTCCTCCTGCTCCCCTTCCAAAGCAGCCGGCCCTAGGTTGCTGGGGCCCACAGGCTTGCTCCTCTGAAGTGTCCCCACCTGGGCATCGCCTTCAAAGCAGCCAGCCCTAGGTTGCTGGGGCTCACAGGCTTGCTCCTCTGAAGTGCCCCCACCTGGGCATCACCCCTTCTCTCCTCCCCCAACTCAACAGCCTGCCCCTCGGTGCAGCTGATTTCAGTTGGAACCCGAGGAGGAAAATAATCACAGAGCAGACTCGAGCGATATCATTTACCCATGCGGCCGCTACCAGGCGGATCCCATGCAATGCCATGAAGTGAAGGAAAGCCTGTGCAGTGGCAGGGAGGTGGCAGGGCAGAGACCTCACAAGCCCCAGCGGCTGCGCAGCCCACCTGAAAGTCTCTCTCTGAGAGCAGCTCGGCCCGGGCTACTCACATCTCTTCCTGAGCTTCATCCAGCACTTCCCCAAAAAGGCAGCGTCTGCAGCTTGCCTCCCAGAGGAGCGGGCCAGGGGGCTGCTTGCAAACACGTGGTCCCTTTCCAGCCACGCGAGACTTGGGTCTAAGCCCTTGTGCCTCACAGAGTGACTTGGGGGCCAGCAGCATCGGCATCAATGGAAGGAGCGTGAGGAGCGCAGTCGGGGCCCCGCTCCAGACCTGCTCCATCAGCGGCTGCATTTCCACCAGATCCCCGGGTGACCGCGCACACACGAACGCTTGCGAGCCCCTGGCGTGACGCACATTCCCTCGCACCTCTCTGATCACTTTGCGGGGCACAGAGCTGCCTCTTGGCTCCTGACAAAAGGCGAGCTTCCCTCTTTACTCACTTATTGCGAGAATCAGCTCCCTCCGCTGGGCAAATCCGATGAGGCGCTCGGAGTCTCTGGAGACCACCACGGGGAAGCCGTTGTAGTCGGTGTCCTTGATGAGCGTCTCCACGTCCTCCACGGTCATGCGGTCCTGGGTGAGCACCGACAGCGGCGGCTCTCCCCGCCGGGGCCGCATGACGTCGGTGGCCAGCGTGCGGTGGGTGAACTCGTCCTTCACATCCAGGAAGGGGTAGCCGTTCAGGTGGATGTGGGCCTCGTAGATGCCTTCCTTCCCAAAGGCATCGGCCACCCACTTGCTGGTCACAGCCGCCGCCATGAGGGGCACAATGTACTCCAGACCACCCGTTAACTCGAACATGATGACCACCAACGACACTGTCATCCTGGTAACTCCACCTGCAACACAAGACACGAGTGAGGTTCCAAAGCCCGACCCCAGACCCTCGGGAGGGCACGATGTGTGGAAACGGACAGACGGCTGTAAATGCTCCTCACACGTGTTCCAGGGGGACATTCCCACATGCCGCCCATGCTCGGGCCTCAGGAACAGATGCCAGGCTCTGTTCAATGTGGCATCGCGTCAGGGAGCTGTAGGTCACACCTGGCTGGGGGCTCTGCTCCAGTGGGGGACCCTGGCTTGTGCACCTCCCTCCCCAGGTGTGACAACCTAAAGTGTCTTTAGATACTGCCAAGTGTCCCTGAAAGGCAGAATGACTCCTGGTTAAGAACTACTGTTCTAGGTGGTATGGCTGTAAGATGGTGGAGACTCCATCAGCCTGGGCCCCTGAATGACTGGGTGGGAAGAATCTTCTGTTCACCCATGTTTTTTACATATATATGTGTGTACATATAGTGAGCAAGATGTACCTTGGTGTGTGAGCCACCGAGATTTGGGGGGTTACTCGTTATAGCAACACAACCTAGCCTATGCTGAGTAATGCAAATGTTCAAGTCCACGTCTTCCTTCTCGCCAGTCCTCTAAGCCAGCTCAGTGCCCCCACCCCGTCCCTGCCCCACCCTCCCGTGGTTGTTCCTAGGTAGGCTGCACCTCCCACCATTGCATAAAGCCCTGGTGTGACGCAGTCTGCTCTGGGCCTGCACCAGTTCCAGAAGATGATCCAGTCATGGTGATGGTAAGCCAGCTGCTCCACGCCGATGCCCACCATCCTGCCCGCCATCGCTCCCACAGCCATGCTGGGGATGAAGAGGCCCGACGGGATCTCGAGGGAGCACAGAGAAAAGCGGCATGAGGGAAGGCAGCTGAGTCCCACTTCCCGATCCCCAGGAACCACGGTGCCCCCTCGACAAGCTTGCATTTTGCTCAGCCTTCAAAGGAGGCACAGCTCTTCAAAATCAGTCCGCTGGGAAAAGGTGGGACAAGTGATTTGACCTCCTTAGTCGGTCGCATCTACTGCGACTTGGAGAGAATGCCCTTTTACACTTTCATTTCTTCCCCTGCCAAGTCTGGCCCAGTTTGCCTGCTGTGGATTAAAGAATGATAAGCCCCAGTGCAAATAGCATTCAAAGTGAACATCTGTCACTTGAGACACTCGTGACTTTCTCTCTCCCCTTGCCATGTCATTCAGGTTGGCTTTTAAAATTAAATGTCAAGCCACAGCATGAAAACGGAAAAGAAGGGCCTGCACCTGATCCCTGGTAAAATAAAGAAGTTGAACGCACCATCGCAGCTGCCCCCGATCTTCCCAAAAGCTTTCAAAGGCTTCCCGCTCTGTTCATAGACAGTGGCGACCAGTCAGAGAGAGACGAGGGAGGCAGTTCCATCTTCCTAACCAGCTACATCTGCCGAGAAGTATCCTGAATATTTTCTGGCCACGTTAGCGGCAGCAAAGAAACAGACTATGTAAACTGAATGATCTTAGAAGTAGCGTGTTGCCCACTTTGCTGGCTGCAAACGCATTTTAGTTTGTCTGCTGACTGTACACGTGCTATAGGACACGCCCAGCTACTCTGTGTTCGTTGAGACGTGAGCACAGACCCTGAGCCACAGCTGCGTTTATGCCGCCCCAGGTGGTCGTCAGTCTGAGGACACCAGGCGAACTGAAGTTCACATCCTCGGCTGTGATTTCTAGAGTTTGGAATATTCCTTAGGAAATTGCTCCTATATGGGCTCCCCCTTAGTCCACAGCCATTTAATCCCCTGTAACTTCAAAGTAAACTCCCAGCAAGCACCAAAGCATGCTCCAGCATCTTCCTTGGACACAAAAATAAATTCCTTTGCAAGGAGATGGTGGATCAGAGACAGTGAGCTGTTTAATAAAGTCTACCCATCCTTGTTCT